GGGGGGGGAGGTGGGGGGGGGGAAGGGGGGGGGGGGGGGGGGGGGGGGGGGGGGGGGAGGTTATTAAAATATTAGTATAAAATAAAATATACGTAAATTTGCACATAAAGGATTGATACGAGTAACTTTGTTTTTATGGGTTAATCCCCCTTGCAATGCTTCACAATGCGTTGCGTTTTCAATTTATTTTTCACCGCGGGTTGCCTGTTACATACTTTTGAAATCAACTGGCGTGCTTATGTTGTCTGAAAACTGACCGATTATCAATCAGATTCAGGAATGTTTAAATGATAAGTTTCTCGTTTTTCGTTCTGTTAAGTTTCAATTTTTAAATTAGTCCAGTTGAATGGGTGTTTGGTCCACAAAAAGTTTAACGAGGAACATCGTTGACAAAAAAAAAAAGCTCTTCCAAAAATGCTTATAATATAGACATTTTTTGTCATGTTTTGAGGGGAAAAAAATTGGTAGGCCCACTCACTCAAAATCCCCCTCCATAAAAACAACAACAAAAAAATAAATAATAATAATAAATATGTATATATTCCTAAGTAAAAAAAAAATAATAATTACGCCGTTCATTTGCCATCCAGTTGGATCTCCCTCCCCCCCCCCCCCCTCTTACATTTACCTCCCTAGAGTTCGCCATTAACCATTATTCCACTAATGAATGGCATAGTTAAGCGAGTGGCCGAATTCCATCTCCGTTTATGGATTCCAGAAAGCAAAACAGGTTGAAAATTTAAGCATGCATGGCTAGCACTAAACACGGTGGGTAACTCTTAATGACCTGTCTTTACAAAGAATGACAATAAACATGTAAGAGAACTCTGGATTTTAAAGTTGTTCAAAGTAAGGCTATTACTCAATAAACATGGGGGATAACTCTGGATTTATCATGCCATTCAAAGTCTGACAAAAAAATATAACTAGCAATAATCAAATTTTATTTATAACGAACCGCAATCATGTTGGATAGCAACGATGATAAATTAAAATAGTAGAACCAACATGAGTATCCAAAGGGCAAATAAAAGAAACATTTAACAATATTTAAGATAACACAAGATACGTTGGTGGGTTGAGTATAAATGAGAGGTGGCCCACACATCTTTAGGCTCCGAATCTATGAGATATGTGAGGGCGTCCAGAACAATTTTAGTATATTTATGTCTGCAAATTTCCCGTACCTATTTTGAATACAGAGACCCTTTGGTACTCGAAGCGTGATTAACCTACAGTTCTAAAAAAATGAATATTATAATTATGACATCGCACACGTGGGTGGGTCTATGTAAGACTTCATCACATGACAATATATTATATACTATAACGATATAGCTGATGGAGTCATAAAATCATTTTGATCCATATAAGACTTAACTTTTAAGCGCATTTCAGTACGTTTAACTCGAGCACTATAAGTATTATCATAGTTTGGATAATGGTGTACAGGCTAAGTCTGTGTGAGATTTTGTTAATTTCAGAATGTGTAACTGGAACGATATCAATTTTAGCTGTTAGTTGTACACGCACGCACACGTGGAGTCTACACATGACATGTTCGACGGCAATATGTTTAACTCTGGCGATATTTTTGCTACGGGGTACATTGAATGTACTCGAGCAGTAATTCAATAAAAATAATACATAACCTGCTCAGTAATGAACAGTAATTGCCCGTTACAAAAACAAACTACAATGCAATATATAAGATAAGGGTATACAGTTACGCATTGCTACTTACAGAACGGCCAGATACGACCAGTGAAATGATTAATGCATTAAAATTGAGCGAATAACATAGGCCTTGGATATAGGCACCCCCACCGCGGACATGTGGGAAAACAATGACGTCACAACATGCTCTCCACCGTCCAAGTAGCAGGACAAAGAGAGGGGTCACGTGTTGATCGCGGAATGATTACTCACACTGCATGAGTGACCATGCTGATCAAGTCCTAGTACACCTCTTTGTGCTACTACTTTTAAATTAAATGGATGTGTATACGTATTTTAATAGATTGGGGTTAACCAGAACTGTCACACTGACACTCAGAGCGGGTGCCCCATTTGATTGATTGATCGGTTGGATATTTATACAGCACTGGTATCCATGCTACTTTAGCATGCTCACTGCGCTCTGGTTTACTTAAATCTATTTAAACATTTACACCAGAGCTATCACACTGAAACTCAGAGCATGTGCCACATTTACACTGCCATGTACACTGGAAAAGTGTTTTTTGTTTTTTCTTCAAAATATTCAACAGGAAATCAGGGCTCAGCCATGGCTGTCACTGAGATTGTCACGCAATGTCCTCCCTGTCCACTATGACATCGTAATGTTTCCAGACTTCTATGACAACCACGGAGAGTTTTATGGCAATGAGAAAGTCGAGGTTTGTGGGGTTTTGGCTTCATTTTTAACTCATGATATTTTTTATTTGTTTGAGAAGTTGCTGTGTGGCCGTCTCAGCTGGTGGCCACAAAAGCCAAGTCA